TTAAGTGAAAAGCTGCAGCAAGAGATAAAGAAGGTCATTACATAATGATAAAGGAATCAATTCATTGAGAGTTTGTACAATTGTAAATTTATAGGCACCCAATAGGGGCACCTGGGTGGCTCAGTTGGTTGAGTGTCAGACTTCAGCTCTGGTCATGATCTAACAGTTGATGAGTTTGAGCCCTGCGTCAGGCTCTGCTGACAGCTCAGAGCCTGGATCCTGCTTTGGATTCTGTATCTCCCTCTCTCTATGGCCCTCCCACACTCATGTTCTATCTCTCTCTGTCTCAAAAATAAATTTAAACATTGAAAAAATATAGGCACCTGATATTGGAACACCTAGATATATTAAACAGTTTATAGATCTGAAGACAAAAATAGACAGCAATGCAATAGTGAAGGATTTCAGTGTCCTGCTTTCAACAATGGATAAATCATCCATATAGAAATATAATATGGAAATAATGGACTTGAACTATACTTAGACCAAATGGACCTAATAGACATATACACAATACAGAGCATTCCAGCCAACAATAACAATATACATTCTTCTCAAGAATGGAACATGGAACATTCTTCAGGATAGATTATATGTTAGGTTACAAACAAGTCTTAAAAAATTTAATAAGAGTGAAATTTTATCAAGTATTGTCTTTTCTGACCATATGGTATGATGTAAAAGTGAATAATAGGAAAGCTGGAAAATTCACAAATATGTTAACAGCACACCTATGAAAAAAAAAAGCTGGGCCAAAAGAAGAAATTGAAAGGGAAATTAAAAATCTCAAGATGAATGAAAATGGAAACAAACATACCAAAAATTATTGCATCTAGCAAAAACATTTCTAAAAGGGAGATTTATAGTGATAAATACTTATATTAAGAAAAGAGAAAGGTCTCAAGCAACCCAACTTTGTATTTCAAGGAAGTAGAAAATGAACAAAGCAAAAGAAAATAATAAAAATTAGAGCAGAAATAAATGAAATAGACTCTAGAAAGATGATAGAAAAGATAAACTGAGTTGGTTTTTTGAGTAGAAAAACAAAATTGACAAACACTTAGCTGCACTTACCAGGGAAAAAGAGATGATTGGAATTAAAAGAATCATAAATGAGGGAGGAGACAATATAACTGATACCACAGAAATACAAAGGACCGTACAAGACTACTAGGAACAATTTTATGCCAAAAAATTAGATAACTTAGAAGAAATGGATAGATGCATAGAAACATGTAATTCACCGTGATTCAATCATGAAGTAATAGAAAAATGGAAGAGACCAATAATGAGGAAGGAGATTAGATGATGATGATGATAAGTCCCAATGTATAAATGTCCAGGATGAGATGTTTCACAGGTGAATTCTACCAAACATTTAAAAAATTGTTACCAATCCTTCTCAAACTCTTCTAGAATATTGAAGAGGAAAGAACTTTTCCTAACTCATTTTACAAGGTCAGCATTACCAAAATACCATGATCCAAGACAAGAATGTTAAGAGAAGAGAAAATTACAGGCCAATACCATGATAGACATAGATGCAAAAATCACCAAAATACTACTGCCAAATTCTAGAACACATTATGAGGATCATACACCAAGATTTAATGATACTCATCACTGGTGTGCAAGCATCATTCAGCGTACATAAATCATTGATATAATGAAGAATAAATATATCATCTCAGTACATACAGAAAATGGATTTGACAAAATTGAACATTCTTTTATGATAAAAAAATATCTGAACAAATTAGGCTTTAGTTGGAATGTTTCTCAACATAGTAAAATATTGAAAAGCCCACAGCTAACCTCATACTTCGTGGTGAAACACAGAAAACTTATCCTCTAAGATCAGGAACAAGACAGGATGCCTACTCTTACCACTGTGTTCTGTTTAACATAGTACTGGAAGTCATAGAGCAATTAGGCAAGACGGAGAAATAAAAGGCATCCAAATCAAAAAGGAAAGAGCAAATTGTCTCTTTAGATGACATGGTCTTACATGCAGAATACCCTAAAGACTCTACCGAAATCTGTTAGAACTAATAAATTAAGTAAAGTTGCAGGATACAAAACCAGCATGCAGAAATCATCTGTGTTTCTATACACCAACAAATTATCTGAAAGAGAAATTAAGAAAGCAATCCCATTTATAGTACCGTTAAGAACAATAAAATACTTAGGAATAAATTTAACCAAGGAGGTAAAAGACCTGTGCACTGCAAACTGCAAGACATTGATGAAAGGCATTGATGAAGATCCAGCAATTGCACTACTAGGTATTTACCCAAAGAATACAAAAAATATTAATTCCTTGGGATACATGCACCCCAGTGTTTATAGCAGCTTTATCTACAGTAGCCAAATGGAAACAACCCAATGTATACACACACACACACACACACACACACACACACACACACACACTAGAATATTACTCAGCCATAGAAAAGAATGAAATCTTGCGAAAAAAGGACATGTATGGAACTAAAGAGGACTATTGCAAGTGAAATAAGTCAGAAAAAGGCAAATACCATATAATTCCACTCATATGTGGAATTTAAGAAACAAATGATCATGGGGGGAGAAAGAGAAAGAGGCAAACCAAGCACACACTCTTAGCTATAGAGAGCAAACTAATGGTTACCAGAGGGGAAGAGGGTGGGGGGAATGGGTTAAATTGGTAATGAGGATTCAGGAGTGTACTTGTAATTTAAGTGTTGAATCACTAAATTGCACACCTGAAAGTAACATTATACTGTATGTTAACTAAAATTTAAATAAAAACTTTTTTGAAAAAGAGATTGAAGAAGACACAGCTCATTGGAAAGATACTTAATATTCTTAGATTGGAAGGATAGATACTGTTAAAAAAAAAGTTTATACTATGCAAGGCAATCTATAGATCCAGTACAATTCCTAGAAAAAGTCCAATGGCTTTTTTTTGTTTGTTTACAGAAATAGTAAAACCATTCTGAAATTTGTGTGGAACCATAAGAGACTCCAAATACCAAAAGCAGTCTTGAGAATGAAGAATAAATCTGGAAGCATCACACTTCCTGATTACAATCTATGATACAAAGGTATAGGAATCAAAACAGTGTGGTACTGGCATAAAATCAAGCATATAGACCAGTGGAACAGAATAGAGAATTCAGACATAAACTCATGCATATGTGGTTAACTAATTTTTGACAAGGGCACCAAGAACATATAGTGAGGAAAATGATAGTCTCTTCAATCAGTGGCGTTAGGAAAGCTGGATATGCACATGTAAAACAATGAAACTGGACTCCTCTCTTACACCAGTCACAAAAATTATCTTGAAATGTATCAAAGACAAATGAAATCATAAGAAAAAGAGACTTATCTGATGTTGTAAAACTCCTGAAAGAAAACAGGGGGGGAAAATTCTTGACTTTGGTCTTAGCAGTGTTGGCTTGGATAAGACACCAACTTCACAGGCAACGAAAGCTAAAATAAACATAAACACATAAAAATAAACACATCAAACTAAAGAGCTTCTAGGCAGTAAAGGAAACATTCAATAAACTGAAATTTTATAGAATTTCCCAACCTAGAGAATGGGAAAAAACATTTACAAGATATATATGTCATAAGGGGCTAATATCTAAAACATAAAGAACTTGCACAGCTAATAGTGGAAAAGCTAACAATCCAATTAGAAAATTGGCAGAAGAATTTAAGAGACCCATTTCCAAAGAAGATATACAACACGTATGTCAACAGTTGTATGAAGAGGAGCTCACAATCACTAATCATCAGGCACACCAAAACCAAAGTGAGATATCACCTCACACCTATTACGATAGCTGTTTTCAAAAACTGAGGTAACAGCCGTTGATAAGGATGTGAGGAGAAGGCAACTCTGATGTACTCTTGGTTAGAATGTAAATTGACATAGCCAAAATGGAAAACAGTTTCCAAGACATGGGAACAACCCAAATGCCCATCAACAGATGAATGTTAAAAAAGTATGGTACGCATACAAACTGGAATATTATTTAGCAATGGGAAAGGAGGCCATCCTGCCATCTGCAACAACACGAATAGACCTTGAGCACATTATGCTAAGTGAGATAAGTCAGAGAAAGACAGGTACTATATGATTATCACTAATTTGTGGGATCTAGAAGGTCAAACCTATTTAAAAAAAAAAAATAGCCAGTGAAATGGTGATTACCACCAGGATATACAGTGTGTGAGGGGTAAGATTCATAATGTTTAAGGGCACAAGCCTGTAACAAGTAGTAAATAAGCCATAGAGATCTAAAACTAAATAAATAAAAATAAAAGGGAAATACTGAACAAAACATACTTGAACAAAAGAGCTTTTTGTGCTTTAAGTTTGTCCTAAGTTTTGCTTTGTTTTGTGTACCTGGAGAGGTTGTTGTATGGGAGGAACATATATGAAAAAAAAATAGGCATGTGGGATTAGTTGGAAATAAAGAGCTATTGAAGAGGGGGAATAGTTCTGGCATTTTATGAAGCTTTTAGGGCAAACAATTTTAACAGCTTTTTTTTACAATCCAAAACTTTAGTTATGAATATTATTTATCCTCCCTCCGACCTGGGTAATTTGAAAAAGTCACTTGGTTCTTCCAGTTTTTTGAAATAAAGAGTCTAACTTCAGCTCCTCTCCAGTCCCCAAAATTCCTTTTCTTCTTGTTTCTTCGATTTTTATGCTGCACTGCCCCATTCTGGCTAGAAGTTAACGCTCAGCTCAGATACTTCCTTGATCTCATCTTGCCTTTCGGGCAGGTGGATACCATGTTGCTTTCTTAGATTTTCATTTGTGTTTTAAGCTGAGAACTGGCATCCCCTTCAGGTGGAGTGTGTAAGGGCATAGTGGTGCCCCAGGTGGTCCTGCGGTCCTTCTGTACTGGCAGAAGACAGACCTGGCCTCTGGGATGCACATCTCTGCACAACTGATGATGACGACTCCCTTTTCACTCCCTTTTTTGTCATGACAGGGAAGGTCTTGCACGAGGAGCATGTCGAACTCTTGATGGAGGAGTTTGCATTTCTGAAAAAAGAAGTGGTGGGGAAAGACCTACTGAAAGGGTCTCTTCTCTTTACAGGTCAGTTTGAGGCGGGATCACAGGTCATGTGTAACCAGTGAAGCCAGAAAGCTAACTGGGTTCTTTCCTACTTCTCTAGGATGTTAATTTGGATTCATTTTTGCTAAAGACTGACTGAAGGCCAATTTAATGTAATCTTCCCATGCTTCCACAAACAATAAAAATATCTATGTTTCTTCTTTCCTCAAATGAGATTTAAGTGCTTGGTGGACCTGAAAGCATGTTAGAAATCTTAAGCTTACAAATGCTTCTGTCCCAACCTCTTAGGTAGAATTTTCCTCATTAAATCTTAACAAATTGGAGACTTTTTTTCCACAGGAGGTTGAAAATGGATTCAGACAGGTTCTTAGATAGGAAAATATTTATATTCTCTTTGCAGAGCAAACAGGATATGCATAGCCCCTTTCTTTCTCCAACACGTTACAAGGACATTGGCAGTCCCCAGAATATTTGGCCTGCTTGATTATTTACTTTATGTCGGTCATTATTTGAGTAGCTCCATTAGCGATAGGAAATGAGCATCCTGGAGCCTCCTGTTCTTTGGATGGACTCCTTATCTGGCTACACCCTAGAGTATTTGGACCACCTTTCCCGAGGGCTTTCCTTATAGAAGCAAAACCCTGACATGGTCAGGCATTGCTAAGTGGTAAAACCATTTATCTCCTCATAAATTTCCAGACAAGAGCAGTAGAACCTCATTTCAGAATCCATCTACATCTTTTAAAATAATAATAGAGTTGTTGTAACAGTAAGAGCCATGAATCTGTACAAGGAACTGTCCCGTGTATGTGACATGTATTAATTAGTTCATGTTAATTCATATACGATAATCCTATAAAGTGGGTATTTATACCCCCATTATACAGGGAGTAAAGGAAGCTCCGAGAGGTGAGTAGCTTCGCAAAGTTGTCAAAAGACGGCTTGTGGCAGAGCCTCTGACTTCATGGCTCAAATGTTTGATGACTGCTCTGTCCTCTCCGAAGCCAAGAACAGACAGTAACGAGCTGAGAGGGAGAAACCTTTCTTTATTGTAAGTTTGATATTTAGGTCCTAATGACTTCAAATCATGTTGTCTATGACACTTATAATTTTTTTGCTTTTATTTATAACTTGTTCTCTTTTTTAAAACATAGTCATAATATGAATTCCTTTCAAGTCAACAAATTTATATGGAATTAGTTTATAAACAATATAGCAGGTTATGTCGCTTTTACATTTCTGTTATGTTTAAAATTGGGGCTTGGAACAGTTGGGAGCAATATCTTGACCCCACATATTTCTCACACATATTCTTTTGAGTGTACTTTTGTGTAGGAGATTATGAAGAGTAAGGAAACACTTGACACTGTATCAATTTTTTTATATTGACATAGTTTATAGGTATTGCTGTTTTTTTCATAGCTATCATGGTGACTTCACTCTATTATCATTTACACAGTTAGTTATATGGTATTCATAGGAATATAGGCTTGGGGGGCTAAAATACCTTGATTCTTTTTCTTTTATAAGACTTCTTTAAATCACTAACTGAAGAGGGTATATATGTGTAAGTATATACATATATATATATGTTTACTGTATGTAACCATATGTGCCTATTAGAAGCCTAAAATACTTTTATTATCGTGTGGGCTAGATGGACTACTGTTTCCAATAAAATGTTTTATTTTCCTAAGAAAATTGAATCAGATAAGCAAGAAAAACAAATGCTTTTATGAAGTTTTCATTCAGGCACCTAAATATTAGTAGCCATCTTGCATACCGTGCTGTAAGGCAAGGTTGCTGTGTCCTGAGGACCTAGCCACACCCCCGTGCCCACATGCTCCCTCTGCTCTCCAGCTCTCAGTCATTAGTTCCCAGTTCCCATGGTATTTGTGATTCCCTACAGCTGGCCCATTGGAAGAAGAGCGGTTTGGCTTCCCCGCATTCAGTGGCATTTCTCGCCTGACCTGGCTGGTCTCCCTCTTTGGGGAACTTTCTCTTATATCTGCCACTTTGGAAGAGCGAAAGGAAGATCAACATATGAAAATGACTGTGTGCTTGGAGACCGAGAACAAACGGTAGGTTGTGAGAAACCGTGAGGAGGAAACTTGAGGACATCGTCATGTGTTCACAGAGGTGAATCTGGACAGAGCCCGGAGGGCCTCGCCCCCAGCCCCTACTCCAGAGGGGCTCTCTGCTTCAGTATACACAGTAGGTGCAGGATTTCACTTATGTTGCCTGATTTCATCCTCACAGCAGCCTTGGAAGGCAAGTGAGCAAACATGATCCCCTTTGCCAGAAAGTACATGGAGGCTTTAGAATTTGAGCAGGGTGGGGCGCCTGGATGGCTCAGTCGGATAAGTGTCCAACTTCGGCTCAGGTCATGATCTCGTGATTCGTGGGTTTGAGCCCCGCGTCGGGCTCTGTGCTGCCAGCTCAGAGCCTGGAGCCTGTTTCAGATTCTGTGTCTCCCTTTCTCTCTGACCCTCCCCTGCTCACACACGCTCTCGCGCTCTCGCTCTCTCTCTCTCTCTCAGAAATAAATTAAAAAAAAAAAAAAATTGGAGCAGATTGCCTCAGCCAAAGCCACACAAGTGAGCAAGATCAGATAAAGTAACAGAAATCCAGTTTACCCCTGAGACCTGAATGGTTTCCAACATTTTATTATGAATGTGTCAGACATATGATGAAGTTGGAAGAAGTTTGCAGTGAACACCCATACAACTACTACCTAGACCTTGTCATCGACTTTTCACCTTGCTTGCTTATCACGTGTCCAAATATCCATCCCTCAGTGTGACTACAATTTAAGGCTCTGCTTCTTAGCTTTATCTTATACTCTCATACTGTTGCCAAAGTGTCTGATTCTTTGTTTTTTATACCAAATCTTTTAAAACAAAAGCATATTCATGATTTTCCTCGAAAATCACTGATTTTACAGAGCACTTGGGCTCTGTAAAATACTTAAAGTAGCAAGTGTTCTGGAGTGTTTCTATTTGTGTTTCCAGGTAGTGGGGCTCTTGGTAGTAAAAGAAACAGACCATTGAGTATTTACAAAAAGAGAAAAATATTTGGGTTTATCTTTGTCCATTTTGAGGAGTTTCCTCTTTGCTGGGGCAAGGTAGAGGTCACTGGTGAAGGTAAAGCATGCAGCGCTTGGAAGTGCTGCTTTGGAGTAATAGCACTAGCAGACTGTGGCTCTGACATCGTAAGCGTTAGAACTGCAGCTACGGTCCGACTGGCCGCACACACAGGTGCCGTCCCCTGTAGCTCATGGTGCTTCCGGAGCACAGAACTTGGAGAGGTCAGGTCATGCGTCTCAGAGGAAAAGGTGCTTTGCTCAGTCTTGACAGGAAATAAGATGTGAGGGAAGTGGAGACTAACTCATTATTGCAAAGAGGGGGCAGGCATAAGATGAAGGGTTGGGACAGATGGCAAACAACATATTATAAGTTGTTCATTCCATATAATACTTTATACTTCATAGATTGTACTTTACTGTCACACCACCACCATAGCGTAGGCAAAGCTGTATATTTACTATTCATGTCCACTGATTAGTACATTGAAGCGAAGGAAACATCCTTGACATTTGGCATTTCCTCAGACTTTAAAACTCCATGTTCTATGGAAGGATGCGAGAAATTTTCTTAGGTAGATCAGAATCTTTGGAATATCTCAAATTTCTTTTTCTCTCTCTTTTTTAAAAAATATTTGTTTATTTTATTTTATTTGAGAAAGAGAGAGGGAGAGAGAGTGCAAGCAGGGTACAGGGGCAGAGGGAGAGAAAGAGGCTCCCAAGCAGGCTCCACACTCTGCATGGAGCCTGATGGGGGGCTCGATCTGACAACTTTGGGATCATGACCTGAGCCGAAATCAAGAGTCAGATGTTCAACTGATTGAGTCACCCAGGTGCTCCTATCTCAAATTTATTTGTATCCAGTGTTAAAGCAGTGAATAAATAGCATTAGTGTTCATCTTTGTTATCACATTCTGGAATGTTGTAAAGCCTGTACGGTGTACTTTTAAAATTAACCAAGGGCTGAAACTAATACAATATTAAATGTCACCTACCTCAGTTAATTAAAACAAAACCAGCCGTGGAAATTAATTTTTTAGAAGTGAGACCAGCTTTTTGATGATAAGAGTTTGTAATGATTTATTTTTAAAATTTTGAGTCATAATCAAAAATTTGTAAATGATAGATTGAACACCTTCGTTTTACTAGTTTACTAATTTACTGTCTCTTCAACTCTTTGACCTGAGTATGAATTTTTTATGTATGGGCTATCATTGATTTATACATGAATCATTTTATCATTTTATTGACTTTCAGAATAGAAGACTTGGTGAACTGCAGCTCTTCAAAGCAAATGAGTCCCTGCTTGGTTTATATTCCCCTTAGTTTAGTGTCCTCTGTGGCAGAGAAAGGCCATCTTATCCTATAAATGCAGTCATGGCTTCTGACTGCACTTGGGAAGAATACTTGGGGTCTGTGGGCTTCTTTTCTCTCTCTCCCCCCAAAGCTTGGCTTAGTCTGCAGGCTTGAGTTTCAGCTTTCAGCTATAAGTAGATGTCTTTCTAGGGCTGTTAATTGCACATTAGGAGCCTCTGCCAGTTGTGTTCAGACACAATTTTTTAAGTTATAGCTACCTTCAAACAATACAGCAGAATAGAGTAGAGCCATAGCCGGGAATGGGGAGGAGGCTGGAGGGGGCGGGGAGAGCGCATGATTGTGAAAGGTCACAATGAAAGGATAGCCAGACAGGGGTCATTACTTGAATTCCTGTTGTGGAAGTAGAGCGCATGATTGTGAAAGGTCACAATGAAAGGATAGCCAGACAGGGGTCATTACTTGAATTCCTGTTGTGGAAGTGCTAGTGTTAGCGAATGTTTATTGAGTGCTTACTACGTGCCAGGCATAGGCCTAGTCCTTTAACAATGATTTTCTCATAGAATCTTTATACCAACTCTCTGAAGTGGGAATTATTACCATCACCTGGGAAACTGAGGCTCAGTGCTGTTAAGCTTGCCAAAGGCACAGAACTAAGTGATTATGTGAGAATCACACTTAGGCAGCTTGTCTCCTGTCCCCAGATTGTGATACCTTCTCCCCAAAAATGCATGGGAAGGGCACAAGAAAGGAATGTCCTAGAAAACACACCAGGTCTCATCTTTCCCTTATTGCAGCCTTCACCTGCCAGTGACGTAGGTGTCATTGTCTTAGAGCCCAAGGTCATCCAGATAACCCTAGTGCAGCTTAATTCTCAAGCCCATGTCTTTCCATCTCACCAGCAGTTTTCACACTTTGTAAAAATAAACAATATTTTTTAAAATCCAAATCTCATGCGAATAGTCAATATATAGAAGCGTTACACGTTTCAGCTCTCCCTTTGAAGCCGGCTGGTAGGAGTGGTTGTCCCTGCTCATCGTTCAGAGCTTGGGGAGAGCAGAGTTAGAAATCACCACCTCCACCGGGCTTGCAGACACAGGCCGAAACTAGGGACGGGGATGTGGTTAAACACCTCCGCATGGAAGGTGAGACCTGGAAGGTGAGAGGTGAGAAGCTTTGTAGGTACTCCAAGCCCAGGTTAACAAATGCAAATACTTGCAAATGAAGGTTCTCAGGTGGAAACAGTAGAGGAGCGGTCTGGGAATGCAAAGCTTGTGTTTTGGGTTGGGATGTCTGGAGCTAAGTGTTGTCCAAGCCCAGGTCCCACCCTCAGCACCACTCTATTCATTGGACAGTAAAGTGCCAGCAGTCAGTATGCACACACCGGGCAATGCATGGGAGTATTGCATCACTATTTTGTACACCTGAAGCTATATATTGTACACTGTGTTCACTAACTGGAATTAAAATAAAAACCTTTTTAAAAAGTTAGGGATAAGTCAGTCATAAGGAAAACTGCTGTTCACACAAAAAATCACCACCAACTGTTTGGCAGTGAAGTTGGAAACAATCACCCGAGGCCTGGTGGAGGTCAAGATGCCACCTGAGCCACATGATTATAAAACAGTGGGATTTTTCAAGTTTTTAGAAGATAGGGCCACAAAATGAAGTTATTCTATCAACACCTCTCTTGAGGTCTTCCGGCATATATGGGCCTGTTCTTCAGATCTTTTCCTCTTAAACATTCTCCCCACACTCTAGTGTAGATCTTGGTAAGCTAGATTAGCCAAAGGAGAGGACTCCTTTACCCAGGGCGGAGGCAGCCCTGAGCTCCCTGTAACACCCAGAACATCCTCAAGTGACCTACTTGGGTCCTTTTTCTATAACCTCACACCTAAATCTTGAGTTTTATCATGCCTCATCAGTCTAGAGGCAGAAAAAAACCGAAAGGTAGTTTCCCTTCTTTCCAACACTTGTTTAACCTGCCCAATCCCAGGCCTGGCCCAGTGCAGGCCACAAAAGGAAGAGGAGAGAAGATATTTCAGGAATGGTAGCAGGAGAGGTGAAGGCTAGAGAACTTGAAGTGTGCTCAGGATTTTCCACCTTCCCTATTCAAGCTGAGTACACTATCACTTAGCACAATGACCCAACAAACTTGCTTTGTCCTTGACCCTGACTCATCCCTATGGGAAAACAAAAAAGGAAGGGAAAACAAAGAGAAGTAGCTAGAGGCCGACAACAAGCCATTGCATTCCCAGAACTTTGTTCTAAGAGGAAAGGAAAACTATATATACATGTATATATGTGTGAAGATGTTGAATATAGAGTATCCGTATTAACTTAAAGTTAGAAAGAGCTTAAACATTTGGCAGTAATAAAATATTAAATAAATTATGTAATCAATTGTGCATGATATGCAGGCAAAAATAATTAAGGGGCACCTGGGTGGCTCAGTCGGTTGAGCATCTGACTTTGGCTCAGGTCATGATCTCACAGCTCATGAGTTCAAGCTCCACATCGGGCTCTGTGCTGACAGTTCAGAGCCTGGAGCCTCCTTCGGATTCTGTGTCTTTGTCTCTCTCTGCCCATCCCCTCTCGTGCTCTGTTTCTCTCTCTCCCTCTCAAAAATAAACATTTAAAAAATTTTAAAAAAACATCAAAACACCACCGTATAGGATCATAAAAATATTTTAAAGTAAGTAAAAGCATGATAATCAAAAATTGTTTATACTTTATGATTTTATGTCATATGCATATAGGCAAATATTTGAAAGAATTGTCTGAAGCTGAAGATTCTTTTATTTAGGTGAAAGAATTGAGGATTCTTTTTTTCCATTTAAACTGTCCCTAAGTTATGGGGGCACCTGGGTGGCTCAGTCGGTTGAGCATCCAGCTTTGGCTCAGGTCATGGTCTCACCGGTTCTTGGGTTCGAGCCCTGTGTTGGGCTCTGTGCTGACAGCTCAGAACCTGGAGCCTGTTTCAGATTCTGTGTCTCCCTCTCTCTCTGACCCTCCCCTGCTCACGCTGTCTCTCTCTCAGAAATAAATAAAACATTAAAAAAAATTGAAATGTTCTTAAATCAGTGCTGTATTGTCTTTAGAATGTATTTTAAAAAGCACATTTTGTTTTTTCGGTCTTGTTATTCAGCGGAGCTTCTTACTTTAGGTTAGAATCTACTTAGGAGGTTTATCTGTTTTCACTAAGCAAATAACACAACTCTAACATTCTATAAAGACAGAAGAAATAAACCTAGAGTAAGGAGGGACTTTAGAGAGGTAAGTCTGCCCTATTTTGATTTCAGATTTTTGTGAGTGCTGACCATAGCAGGGGGTTGGAGGGAGGCAAATCTGAAACACAAACAGGTGCTTCCTTTTTTTTTTTATGTTTATTTATTTTGAGAGAGAGAGTGTGTGCATGTTTGAGGGAGAGGCAGAGAGAGGGGGACAGAGAGAACCCCAAGAAGGCTCTGCGCTGACAAGCGTGAAGCTAATGAGAGGCTCACCCACAAACCATGAGATCACATGACCTGAGCCAAAACCAAGAGTCAGACGCTTAATGACCGAGCCACCCAGGTGTCCCTAAAACACGTGCTTTCCTAATTGGCAGGGATAGACTGATACTTTCTGGCATATGCCTTGGGTTCATAGACTTCTTTGAGGATGTGATAAAAGCACCCTAAAAACTGTTTCCCATTAAAATGCACATACACGTGGGAAAAAAGTTTTGCACATAATCTCAGGTAGTATATGGATTGCCTGTAGCCCTTATTTGGATCCCCTATATCCATGAGGCTCAGGGTATAAACAAATGAGGGAGGTGGGTGGCGGAATGCGTGAAACAGGAGGTAGGGATTAAGGAGCACATTTGTCAACGATGAGCCCTGGGTGATGTATGGAAGTGTTGAATAACTATATTGTACACCTGAAACTAATATATTGTAGTTAACTGTGTTAACTAAGTGGAATTAAAATAAAAACATTTTTAAAAGGTTATGGGTAAGACAGTCAGTCACAAGAAAAAAACAAACTGATCTTCACACAAAACCATTGAGTGAATTCCCTTGCCTGATGGCAAAATTAAATGGACTGTTTGGCAGTGAAGTTGGAGACAAGTCACCTAAGGCCTTTGGGAGGCTGGTGGAGGTCAAGATGCCGCCTGAGCCACTTCATTGAGCAGCAGCTTCCGGGAAGATGGGCACAAAATGAAGACCTGTTACCGGGTTCTCAGGGGTCAGCAAACATGCACTTGCACTCCCTTGTAATCTCTAACATTTATGATTCTTTTGTCTTCGCAGTCCGCTCACATGGATTGAAGAGAAAGGGCCTGGTCTAAAACGAAACAGACACTTAAGCTTCCATTTTAAATCTGGGTCCCTGGAGAATATGCCAAATGTAGGAGTCAATAAGAATATTTTCCTGAAAGATCAAAATATATTTGTGCAGAAACTCTTGGGCCAGGTCTCTGAGAAGGAACTGGCTGCTGAAAAGAAACGCATCCTGCACTGCCTGTGGCTCGCAGAAGAAATCCAGAAATACTGCTACTCACAGAAGTAAGAGAAGGAAGCATGCGGCACTTCTAAGGCGGCACCATAGTTTGCTTTTTATGAAGAGTTGACCTCTATCTCTATTTTTACAATTAAACAGATCTTGGGTAAACAGGATTTGCTTACTGTCCCGAGCTGTGTTGGGAGTGATATTTGGGAGTTGGGATGAGGAGAAAACTAGCCTTGGTGGAGCTGAGCCAAGGGCTGCATATGCCTGATTCCATTTGCTCTTCCCAACAGCCCTATCAGGTGGGTATTAGCAGATTCGTTTCCATTTGTATATTGGAAAATTTTGTTTGCAGTCACCCAGTTAGTAAATAGCAGGACCAGCCTCTAAATCTCATGCACTGAACCACCGCAAAACAGTGTATGGAAGCCTCTTCCTGCTTTAAGGAATCTGTTTCACCCAACAAACTGTCACCGGGTGAGTATGCCAGGTGCTGGGGATTCTAAACATGAACAAGACATAGCCACTTTCCTCAATAACTCGCCTCGTTGAAAGCAAACCAGTCACACAGACTGGTCACTGTAATGTCATAGGTCCAGGAAAAGAGATGCCCCTGGTCATCTGGAGGAAGGTCAGGGAAAACCTACAAACCAGATCTTCATAACTAGGTTAGCTGTGTACACGTGAGGGGGGCTTTCCCGGTAGAGGGCTGACCTGAGCAGAGAAGGAAGTGAGGAACAAGCTGGCCTGTACCCTGAGAACAGTGTTGCCAGAGCAGTGTGTTGAGTCCCAGAGGGTAAATCTCTGGGGTCCCTATAAGCCAGGTGAAGGAGCTGGGGGACCCCAGTGCCTATTTTTTAGGGGAGTGGCGTGGTCAGGTTTCCAGTTTAGATAAAGCACTCAGAAAGCTGCTAGGAGGAAATGAGACTTGAGACCAAGGAGGAGACATCTCGTCAAGAGCCAACAAACATCTTCACGCTGCAGCCCTTGGCTTGTCTAGACTCCACTCCGGTCGAGACACCGCTGAACTTGAGGCAGAGCTGATTCCCAGGAATCTGCTCTTTCGTTTCACTGGTGGTCGCGTTGCATTTTCGTTGAAGCTTGTGTTAGATTTCTTGCCTTTGTAAATGTTTCCCTCTTGCTTTTTGCCTATTACCTTCCCTTTGTGAGGTTTAACCACTTCAGGAGCGGGGAAGTTGTTGGTCTCAGCACTCTGTTTTCTACCTCGATTTCCATTATTCTGTCACCATATACGTCAAGGTAGAAACCAAAACTCCTTAAGGTTGTCCTTTTATTTGCCATGTAAAACAATTTCATAAATATTAGTTGGTTCTCTTGTTTTATTATCCACATCAAATATCCTTTGTGGCCAAGAAATGTTATCTATTTTTGTATGCTGTACAGCATCTAGCATGAGGCAAATACGTGATTAAAATGTCGTGCAGTAGCGTCTCGCATTTGGGCCTGATAACTCTGCTGTTTCAAAAATATTGGCCATATTTGATATAAGAGGTGGGGGTGGGTGTCAAAACCAGAGCTGGACAGGAGAGTGGTATAAACTGGTTTTATTTAATTAAGACTTAAGATAGACGAAAACAGATCTCAGTATAGAACCAGGCTCGATTTCAAATACAGCATGGGCAAGTGGGGGACTTACAGCCAAGGGCCAGGGTGGGGGTCCGCGGATTGAAAATTACTAAGAAGAAACATGGGGAGGAAATTCCGTCTAAACCAACTTGATAAGGTCCTTGCTGAAGGCAGGCCAGTGTGATCAGATACCAGGGGTGGGGGACAAGGGATTTGATCAGATGTTGAGGGTAGGGATTCTCACGGAACTGACATAAGAGTTTTGCTCAGTTGCGTGATGCAGAGACAGACATGGAAATCCAAAGGTTGAGGCCTCTTTTGAGAAGAGGGTTCAGAGGATCCTGACTAAAGTCTGGTCAAAGTCTTTGTCATGGGTTATGTGATTACTAATTGATGACTACTCATCTCAAGCTTGTTTTGTGAGTGGTCAAGAAATTAAAATGAGAGGGACACCTGGGTGGCTTAGTCGGTTAAGCGTCCGACTTTCGCTCAGGTCATGATCTCGCGGTGCGTGGGTTCGAGCCCCGCGTCGGGCTCTGTGCTGACTGCCAGCTCAGAGCCTGGAGCCTGTTTCAGTCTGTGACTCCCTCTCTCTCTACCCTCCCCTGCTCACGCTGTCTCTCTCTCTCCTAGAAATAAATAAAACATTTTAAAAAAATTTAAAAAAAATTAAGATGAGAACACCTATTAGTTTTGCTAATCGGTAAGAACCGCAGAAGGAGAAGGAAGAGGAAATGAGAGAAAATAGAATCCGGAGAGATGGAGCAGGAGTCCTTCTTCCTCTGCTGTTTACAGCTGCCCTAGTCTTCCTTTGGGGCTACTGACCCATCCTGGCCCCACCCAACTGCAGCATTTCCCAAATACTCCTTCCCCTGAAACTCACCCCCACCCCCAGTCATCACTCTCTTCCAGGGCTTCACTGAAGTAAAGAAGCCACAGGTGTCCCCTGCCTTTCGTTTACCCAGAAGATAGTGACGTTTGTTTTTTCCCCTAACGTACATGGAAGGCTTAGTGAAAAAAGGAGAATTTGAGTGAGCTTTCGAAACAAATTAGGCTTTTTGTCCAACTAGAAGAAAAAAGCCCTTTATCCCACTGTACTAATGCTCTGTGTTCGGGGGTCTTGTGGGAGGAAAGTAACTTACGGTAGTGCCCTTGATCCCTCTGTGTCCCTCACCCACTTCTGTGGGAGGAGCAACCTGCCTTAGTGGTAAAGCTGAAAAAGACATTAAGCAGCAATAGCCCAACCAGCCTCTAAGTGCACCTGAGTTCCCCATTTGTCCACGTGGTAGGTGACAGGGGCGGGCTCTTCCTCTGCAGTGGGGTGGCCTGAAGCTTCGAAAGAAAGTTACTCTTAGCAGAGTAGCAAACCTATTTGGGTATAGATCCTACCCACATTCCCCTATCATCTTTATCATCATAATACTGATCCTTTTTAAAGAAAATTAGTCTTTCTCCTATGTTTATAGCTGAATTGGTCCCCAGAATTGGGAAGAAGGAAAAGGAATGTACCTTGCTGGCCCTTTAAATCCCAACAATAGATTCTCTCCTTAGGGTTTCCTGCCGGAAGGAATCAAGTGGGAAAAAAAAAAGGGGGGGGGGGCGGGGACATTTTAGTCAGTGACTACAGTTCCTCAAGAGAAGGCTTCTATTTGGGAAATCCCTTGCTAAGCCAGTCCATAAGTCGTGGTGGTGGTGGAGATGGAGGGGGGTAGGAGGATTGACTGTAATAGAAGGAGAAGCCTTGGGGAGCCAGGTTGATGGGTTGAAGGGGGAAAAAATAGACCCACCTCTCTGCAAAAGTAATTAATAGGGTTTTAACAGGAACGAAGGGAATAAGAGGTCTAAGATCACTAAGCCCTTGAGACTCAAAATGTGGTATGCTGACCTGCAGCCTTGGCTTTGGCTTGGCCTAAAAGCTTGCTAGGAATGCAAATTCTGAGGCCCACCTTAGACCTACTGAACCAGAATCTGCATTTTAGAGTGCATGGTGATTCCTGTGCCTATCAAGGTTTCTTGGAGCTTGTGGACTAGTAAGGAAGAAAAATATTACACAAATTGTAAATATTCGAGCACAACTAATGCTCTAATGTTTAGAATGCTAAAAAGAGGATTTTAAAATCTTGTTCCAGGGAGCGTTTTTCGAGTCAAGAAGTTAGGAACGCCTTCTGTAAAGAATGTACTGAAAACTGAATGTTGAGGAAGACTTTGGGCGCGTGAAGGCAGACAGGGATGTGGAGAACAATTCAGGTGGAAGGGGTAGCACATGCAAAGCCCCTGTGTCCAGCAAGGAGGCCAGCAATACCCATGGATGTTACAGGTGTGGGCGCCTAAAATTCCCTTTTCTTAATCCCATTTGACTTTTCCAAACCTACCTTTTTAAAATGTAAGTTGTGAAATGATAATGGGCTACTAACATCGGAAAGTCTCTTTTACTGACTTCAAAAGAGTATATTACTATTTATTAAGCAAGCAATATACAGGCCTGATGCTAAGAGGTTTACATACCTTATTCCATTTACTTTTTATAATTCCCATAGAAGGCCATATGCAGTAAGCACTTTTCCTTCATATTTTTTAACACATGAGGCTCAGAATTTAAGCTGCACGGCTGAGTTCCTTTACCTACATGAATGCAGACTGCAGCCTACATGCCAGGTCCTGCGGCCCATTCCCTATTTACGTAATATCTTATGGGTAACACGGTCATGCTCATTTACTTATGTGTTGTGTATTATTGCTATCCTGCTACAAAGGCAGAGTTGAGTAGTTGTGACAGAGACTGTATGGCCCCCAAAGCCTAAAATATTTACAGTCTAGCCCTTTAGAGAAAACATTTGCCAATGCCTGTTCTAGGTGGGAGCTCCAGCCTCTCTGTCTGTAGTTATTCTTTTCAAGGCAAAAGGTACAGGCACTGTCATGTCATAAACACCAAAACACAAAGTCTGGAAACTGCAGTGAGCAGACAAATACACTTTACAAATTACATTGTTAACTGTTTCTGGGTTTAGTACGTGTCATTCACTCATTAGCTTGTATTCAGCTAACATTCATGATTGACAGTGTATATATGCTGGTTGTGCTGGGCTCCGGGGATTGAAGTGAATGACTCAGCCCCAGCCTCAGGATGCTGACAGCTTCCAGCGGGATGGCCCACACCAACTGGAGAGCATGTTGTCCTAGGAGAGGAATAGTCTGAGCCAAGGGACTGGGGAAGGGGAGGGAAGTTTTCCACATGAGATGTCTGGGAGGAAGTAACCTCTGGGTTGAGCCAAACAAGAACTAGGAAAATACAGAATATGTTCCCAACAAAATGAGTGGTGTAGGGGCTCCTGGGTGGCTCAGTCGGTTGAGCGTCCACCTTCAGCTCAGGTCATGATCTCAGAGTTCGTGGGTTCAAGACCCACATCGGGCTCTGTGCTGACAGCTAGCTCAGAGCCTGGAGCTGCTTCAGAGTCTGTGTCTCCCTCTCTCTCTGACCCTCCCCTGCTCATGCTGTCTCTCTCTCTCTCTCTATCTCTCTCAGAAATAAATAAAACATTAAAAAAATAATAAAAAATAATTTTTAAAAAATGAGTGGTGTAATTTGACAACACAGAGGAATGCGGGGAGATGACGCTGAGAGGCAGGAAGGGACTGGACCAGGTCCAGAGAGGACTGAGCCTCGGAAGGCCACCAGCACCAGCCCCAGTGACACTGCTGAAGTGGTTTGCAACCTCGGTAAAATTATTTGATGTCCCTGGCGTTTTGTTTCTTCATCTTAGAAGAAGTAGAAAGAGATCCTCTTCAGAGTCGTTTTAGGAGGGTTTTGAACAAGAGAGTATCGTGAACAGAGCTGGAGCTCGGGATGATGGGCCCTCGAGAGAAGGGTGCTGGGGCCCATGTTTTCCTCCTCAGACAGGTGGCTGAAGGCAGAGCTGTCTCTTCAGAGCCACACTTTTACACAGTGACAGCTGGGTTGCTGTGGAGACACAGATAGCAACACACAGGGCCATAAAAGACGGTTTCCTCTCTTCTGTGGAGGAGACTTCGGATAACTCTTCCCAGATGAATCTTGATCAAGAGAACTGACCATTTCAGAAATGTCACTTGGGAATGTCTATGAGGAGAAAATAGGGGCCTCTGAAAAAACGACAGTTTACATAGTTTTAAGGAGAAACTGTTGATCAGATGTCAAGAGGCTGCCACTTGGGCTCAGGAAGTAAAGCGTTTTTGTTTTTTTGTTTTTCCTTTTTTATCTTGGGATCCAGAAAGCTCACTAGGAATGAGGTAGGAGAGGACAATATTAGGCAAAAATAGAGAGTCACTGCAAATGAGGACGCAGCCACAGAAAAGAAAAGCCTGCATGAAAGAGGTTGTTCACTGCCCAAGCCTTGTACCAAAGTTACAGGAGAACCAAGATGGCAGCCACCTTCCCTTCCTAACCCGTGACAGGTTTCTTCACCTGGATGAGAACGCTCTCAGGGTCATGACCAACTGTGCTGTATGGGAACTGCAGCCAGTGACAGACGAGCCAGAGTCAAGAATCCTTTTATACTTTCTTCATGACACAGTCCTTCTGTTCCTCGTTCTTTCTGGCTGGGGGTGCTAGAAATTGACCCAAGAGCCTGGGTCAGTTTGCATCCTACCCAGCTACCACTATCATTTTTCAAAATTAATGTGCTTCCGTGAGACAGAAAGCTAACTTTCAGAAACGCCCAGAGAAAAAGATGATGTTACAGGCTTCTAGGCTCTCCGGGGACCCTGGACTCCTCTTCACAGCAGGACACTTGACTCCTTTTTTCTCACTTTTCCAGGAGAGACTAGAACTGCCAGCTGAGAAGCTTGTCTGAATTAAGGAGAGGGTAGCCTCATCCTTGCGTAAAAAGAGCAG